GTAAACGTGATGTGCGTGTTGCCGTGGTGTCTAGGCCGCTCCCGGGTGCAGCCTTGAGGGGTCTGTGGCAGCGTGGGGTTGTATCCCCTTGCGGTGCCCTGGAGGCGCTCGGGGCTTCTTGGCGGGAGAAGGCCAAAGCTTGGGGGCGGAGGGGAATGTGCAGGCGGCGATGGCTCGAACTGGTTTGCTTTTTTGTAGGGATTTAAAGCAAACCTCTCTCTTCTGAGGCGACCCGGGGAGAAGACCTATACTCAGCGTTGCCGCTTGTTTGTTGGGAATTTGCCTGCTGATATAACAGACGAAGACTTTAAAAGACTGTTTGCCAAATATGGGGAGCCAGGAGAGGTTTTTATCAACAAGGGGAAAGGCTTTGGATTCATTAAATTGGTAGGCTTTCATATTGTACATTCATCCGTTTAATTCTTACGAAATGGTAATTTACAACTTGGTTTTCTAAAACTGTATCTTAAACTTTCCTCAGGAATCCAGAGCTCTTGCAGAAATTGCGAAGGCAGAACTAGATGATACCCCCATGAGGGGTCGACAGCTTCGTGTTCGGTTTGCCACACATGCTGCTGCTCTTTCAGTGCGTAACCTTTCACCCTATGTGTCCAACGAGTTGCTGGAGGAAGCTTTTTCCCAGTTCGGTCCAGTGGAAAGGGCTGTTGTGATTGTAGATGATAGAGGTAGATCAACAGGAAAAGGCATTGTTGAATTTGCATCAAAGCCAGCTGCAAGGAAAGCATTTGAACGGTGTACTGAAGGAGTGTTTTTGTTGACAACGTAAGTATTTTGCTGCTTAGGATTTCTAGTTTTAAGCTGAATAAAATTGTCGGCTTATAGTTTTTCAGATTGGAGATTCTCATGGAAGAGTAAAATGCGTATGTTTTTGTTCAGCACTCCTAGGCCAGTTATTGTGGAGCCGTTGGAACAACTGGATGATGAAGATGGTCTTCCAGAAAAGCTTGCTCAGAAGAATCCGATGTATCAAAAGTAGGCACTATCTTTTGGTATAAAGCGTATATTGATATGATGTACGTAGTGTTGTCCCAGACTCTGAAGGAGGTGGAGTAATTTTTCAGAAACAGGCTTTGAATTTTGAGTAGTACATTCAATTCTTAGGGGTTTTTTGGTAGTAGTTTGTCTTTAGAAAATGTAATGTACTGATTTGTTCAGTATATTCACTAAGCATTACTCAAGCAATTTGTATCTTAAAGAAGCAGTAATGCCTAAATAGCAGCCCAATAACAGATATTTTTGGTATATGTAGAAACTCTTGAAAATCAGACTTTCAACTGTTTGCTCATCTTGTTGTCAAGAACTGTCATCTCACTTCAGGTGTATTTCATGTTGATGATCCCGTAGAAAATTTACAAACTGATGTTTGTGGTATGAAATGCAAAATTAAGTAAAACTTTAACTCATTCCATGATTAATAAAAACTAGTTGCCTATGGATTTGCCTTATGAAGCTGACCACTGGGCATAAAAGAGTAGATAAGAGCCTATAGGAGTCTTTTCCTAAGTAGCAGTTTCAGGTTAGCATCTGCATATTAAACCTGCCTGTTGTAGAAATGTTCTATTTTCCCAGATCACAAAAGGAAATACAGGGGTTGATCCAGTCAGTCTTGTTTGTATGAGAAAGTGTTCAAAATTACTTGCTTTGATCAAAAACTAAAGTTTAGAGGCAGTGTCTTTGAAAACAGTGTAGATTAGTATAGTGTTACTAAAATGTTGAAATACTTTACATTGTTAATGTATGGAAAGCTTTTGAACTTTCCTAGTTTTGTCCCATTAATTACTGACTCTTAGACTCCAGTTGCTTTATATGACTAAAAACTGTTGGCCCTCGGGCATTTTGAAGACTGTTTAAGTTAAAGTGAAGATTATTACTTGCCTTTGACACATAGCGCTTTGGATAAGTTGGCACTGAAAAAGTCCATCTCTCCAAATGCAGTTGTTTTGAGCAGCTGTACCTACTCGGGCAAAGGCCTGTCTTGTTTCAGGATTTTGCACCTGGCAGTTGCCAGTGGAATGTCTAAGGAAGAAATTAAGAAGGAGATAAACATGCAGTAGAAGGGAAGATTTGCTTGGATGTGATGGTGCAGGAGTCTCCATATTTGCTACAATAGTCATAGAATTTATTAATATTAAATGCTGCTCTTTAAGTGTGTAGAATGCTGTACTGTTATCAGTGTTCTGTCACGGCAAGTTTTCTATCTCGTAGTTGTGAGGTAGTATTTTCAGGGCTCCTCTGATGTTCCCTGGTAATTCTTCTATTCTGCTTGTGGTCTTTTATTGACCTTCAGTTTCTAGGTTTACCCTGTCTGAATGAGCATCTTCCTTTCTGCAGGGAAAGAGAGACTCCTCCCCGTTTTGCTCAGCCTGGCAGTTTTGAATTTGAATATTCCCAGAGGTGGAAGTCTTTAGATGAGATGGAAAAACAGCAGAGAGAGCAAGTGGCAAAAAACATGAAAGATGCCAAGGACAAACTTGAAAGTGAGATGGAAGATGCTTATCACGAGCATCAGGCAAACCTCTTGCGTCAAGGTAATTGGCTCTGAGTTCTGTATCGTTTTGCTTTAAAAGCTAGCTTAAGTATATGGCTGTTTAATGGTTTAGTGAATAAATTCATGCTTTCTGCTGCTAACTTGAGAATTTCAGGCTTAAAGAGCAACTGGTAGTTTTAAAATTTTTAATTAAATGAAGTATTGTTAAGAATAGTGACCCTCGGAATGTAGCTGTCTGCCATAGTGCATATAAGGTTGATCTAATTCAAATCTGACATGATTAAATCTGGCATGAGTTTGTGAAATAGCTGCTGACAGGCTTTGTTTCTGCAGACCTTATGAGGCGTCAGGAAGAACTGAGACGTATGGAAGAACTCCATAATCAAGAAATGCAGAAACGCAAGGAAATTCAACTGAGGTTGGTTTGGCTTTCATGGGATTTTTTTCAATGTTACATTTGGTGTTTTTTCAAAATGACTCATATATGAAAGTTTTTATTTTTCAAGAAACACCATTGCTGCTTCAGTTTGTGTATGAGAAATTGAACTGCAGTGTAAGTTTTTCCTCTAGTATTTGAGCATCATAGAATATTTGTTTTTTGCTTAAGTGTAATCATTTGGTGCCTTTTAAATTGTTCATGCAAGTGATGTTCATGAGAAGTGTTGTACATGTTACAGTGCTGAGGTTTAACAGTCTGCTTTGGGATGATCAGGCAGGAGGAGGAGCGTCGCAGGCGGGAAGAGGAAATGATGATACGTCAGCGGGAGATGGAAGAACAAATGAGAAGACAGAGGGAAGAGAATTATAGTAGAATGGGTTACATGGATCCAGTAAGTGAAGTAACGATCTTTGTGGATACATTACCATGTTCAGGAATCTCTTTTGATGTATTTTCAAGATTGATGCATTTTGCTTCCTTTAGGTTAGATAATGCAATGTCTTTGTGTAGGTGGAATAGTAGTAGTTGGCGGTACGTGTGCTTTATCTCCTGAAAGGTATGGATTTCAATAGTTGGTTATCTGTGCTAAAAGTTGTTTCTTCTATGCAGCGGGAGAGAGACATGAGAATGGGTGGTGCCACCACAATGAACATGGGAGGTAAAGAATTTTTAAATAATTACTTTATGTGGTTAATGTAGAAATTGTCAGAATATGATTATATATTTCTCTTTCTTAGATCCTTATGCTTCTGCAGCCCAGAAATTTCCACCTCTTGGAGGTGGTGGCGGCATAGGTTATGAAGCTAATCCAGGAGTTGGCCAAGCAGCCATGAGTGGTTCTATGATGGGAAGTGACATGGTAATGTATCCTGTGGTGGCTTTAGTTTAGCACGAGAGGGAAATGTTGTGGTTGGGAATTGAGTTCTCTACCAGTGTTCCGATGGTTGTGTAAATTTCACTGTTAATTGCTGACTTTCTTGTCAGGTATTTAACATGAAGACTAGTGTGGCAGTATGTAGTACTAGATTAGTTCTTAACCGTTATGGTAGCTTACACAGTCGGAAGTTCTTTGTAAGTAAATTCAAATGTGCTGTTAAGCATATTTGCAATTAACTCTGACTTTAGTGGACTTCGGAAATTGTGCGTCACTGTTAGGCTTGGAAGGATTTTTTTTTATAAATTCTAGAGAATCTGACCAATTTCATAATGGAAATATGTATGTAGTAGCTTTTCAGTAATTTGACATTCTGTATTTATGGACAAGAGATTTTTGTTCTCCTTTCCAATGTGTAACATTGCATTTATTTTGGCCCTTCCAAGCCTAGTTAGGATTGATGCATGTTGGTATGGGTATGCTGTTAATTCAAAAATCTGCGCTCATGTCTATTCAAGCAGCAGATTAATTTAAGTAATCAATGGTAAACAGCATATCGCTTATTCTGTATGCTGATGTTTACCATAAAGACCAGAAATGCTGTTTTTTAGCTTAAGCGTATTCCAGCGATCCTTGACTGTAGCCATTTTGTGATTCCTGTCTCACATAGGAATAACAGCCTGTTCTTGTTTTCCCGTGTTGGGCATGACTATTTGAGTAGAGTTTGTTAAAGCTATGGCATATCTCATGTTCCGAGGTATGTTTCCAAACTGTACTATTTTTGGCACACTATATGTGTGAATGGGCATTGAGCCTGCTTGGTGTTATCACACTGAAGCAATACGGATGTAGATTAAACAAATGCTTAATGGGTAGGATGGAAATCTATGTTGGCTTAGGTGGCAATATTAGTGTGCTTTCACCCTCCTGAAGGGGTGTACACTCTGTATCACAAGCTGAAGTAAATGATTTTTGGGTGGGTTCAGGCCGCTGGCTTAATGTGGTGAGCTACCATAGTAGCTTGTCAGGTATCTTTCGGGTTTTTTTGGGGGAACCATATCTCTGGAGTGATAACTTTGCAGAGCATCATTGATTCAGTAGACAGTGCCGTTGGCCTTAATGTATCTATATAATCTGCTGATGTTTAAGCAGTTCCTAAGTTTCCCGTGAGCAGTTAGGCAGTCTGTGGTGAATGCTGTGTACATTTTTCTTATGAAAATCATGGTACAGGTGCATGCTGAACTTGTGTTATACTTGAAAATGTGACATGGTCAAAAGGTGTGACAGTAAGATGGTTTAACTGTCTTGAGTTTCTTAGGATGGAAATCTCTGCCTCACAGTGCTGTCACAGTTACTGGGCTGATATCTTTTAAATAGAATTGGAGATAAGCTTAAGCTGCCATGAATTAGGCAGAAAGAACCTAGGTAATCTTTCTGAAATTCCCTTCCTGGAAGGATTGAAACTAACTTTCACAAGTCAAGAACTTGAAGTGTGACTTTTCAGTTGCAGATACCTTTTTGTAACAAACAACCTACCATTGTTCTGTTACTCGGTAGTGGAAAACTTGCTTGAAATGAAAGTTTAAACTATCTTTGACTTCATAATTTGTCAGTTCTCCAGACTGAATGCTGATCACACCTACTGGTACAGTAACTGAATGAAATACATGCAGCTAGAGGTACTGGTAAAAATACCTGAAGTCTCTGCTTTATTGCAGGGTAATTTAGCTTCTACATCTTGGTGTGAAACCTTTCAACGCTGTGAAGTTGTGAATTTTCCAAGAGCTTGTGGTGAAGGTGGGGTGGGAAGGGAGATATTGACCCTTTGTGCATAGTTCTAACTGGAAACACTGAATTAATTGTAGTTCTTTAAACACGTTTTGCATATTATACAGCAGCAGCTCTGGAGTACGTGGGGAATTTAACAAATGCTTTTGATTGAGCAATTGCGTTGGTTAGGTAAATCACTGGTCATTAGCTTTTTTCACATTTTTTTTTTTTCTCCTTGCAATCCAGTAGTGCTCACAATCAGTTTTGGTTACTGCCTAAGGCCTCTGCAGTTTAGTCAGCAGACCGTAGTCTTAACCCCATCTTGAAAAGCACATGGTCTCTATTGCAGCACATGCCATTAACTGGTGAGTAGGCATTCTGTTTACAATGACATTTTAGGAATGTCAGCTCATACTTAGTGAACTGAAGACTCGTTCTCTGGCTAGGCTTATTTGGAAATGACAGTGATGTGATCTAAGCTTTTACTGCACTAAAGGTGAGAAGTTTGCAAGCTATTTGCATTAACTTGGTTGAAAATTGCTAGAGCTCATATGGAAAAGTTGTTAATTCACATCTGCACTAATGCTTACATTTCTAGCACTGCAGGGAGGATCTGTTCTTTGTAACAGATGTATGAGAATGCATCAAGTGGGAACATACCTCAAGGCATGTATTACAATAAACTAATTTTTAAATTACCCTTTTTTCCTTTCTATGTTCCCGGTACCTGTGGATCGGCTCAATGGTGATTGTATCGACGAACCTTGACTGCGGAACCTTCTAAAAATATATACTTAACACACATGGACATCAACTACATATAATGAACTGTTAATTCTGTTCCAATAGCGTCCTGAACGCTTTGGGCAGGGAGGTGCGGGGCCTGTGGGTGGCCAGGGTCCTAGAGGAATGGGGCCTGGAACACCAACAGGATATGGTAGAGGGAGAGAAGAATATGAAGGCCCAAACAAAAAACCCCGATTTTAGATGTGACCTGTAGTTTCATTCCAGTTTGTTTTTGTCTGTCTTGTTTAGACACCAACTTTTTAATTCTTGCATTTTAGTAAGAAAGCTACGTTTTTATGGATGTTAGAAACTTACTGACCTAATATTTGTAAGTGGTCTGTTTGGGCGAATACAATTTAATTATGTAATGCAGTGTTTCAAAACAAATTTAGCTGTTTTTTTGATGTATAACGTCCCTGACTTGATGGCAGTGTACCTTGTGCCACTGAATTCCCAAAGTGTACCAACTTTTTTTTACTGTGCTTCAAATAAATAGAAAACTAAATGTAGTAACTCTTCTTGCCATTCGTGGTTAAACATACGAGGCTAAATACCACACCTTCCGCAGTAAACCAAGAGTCTTGAGTAGAGGTCAAACTAGACCAGGGTGTGGAACTGTAGTGAAGAGTGAGATCTCTTCCTGTAATGCCTCTAGCTAAAGATTGGGTCAAATAGTAGCCTAACTTTCCAGTAGGTGCAGATTTTTTGAGCATTAATTGTGCTGCAATAAGAAAGCAAATTGAAATCTCGCAAGTGCTGTAAGATACAGTAATTAAAGCTACACTGCAAGCAGTGCAGTATGTAACAAATTTCATATTTTAGCTACGGACAATGGGTGGTGGGATGGTAGCACTTACCACCTTGGCGGTTACTGCTTGGAATCTTTTAAAGGCTTTAAGCAGAAGAGTAGCAATGGTTATTTTAAAATAAATTCAGCGAATTACTTGTATTGGCTGACTTCCTAACTAAAGGATTGTTAATGTGATATTTATATGCTCTTAAGCTGTCTTGAGATTACAGGATCTGGCCTTGCTCCGTATTGTATACTTACCTGAAATTGCTTGGCAAAAAGACCAGAAGTGTTACTTGAGTGATAAAGGGTAACTTGTTTATGTCCTCATGCTAATTGAGTGGACTGATCTGCATAGTTCGGAATACAATCATTTGTATAATGGGGACTGCAGGAACTATTCTTGAATCGTGTAGCTGGTGGGCAAATCCTAAAAACCTGTATGTAAAATACAGAAATTGGCTTGCTTGCATGATGGTTATCGCTCTTTTATTATTGATGTTTGGAGATAATGCATCAAAACTAGTATCTGAATCTGGAGTTTAATAGTTAATACTACACAGTACAAATAAACTCCCTTTAAGGTTCTTTTGTAGAAGACTTGATGAATTCGTTAGCTTGCTGCTCATTTTGTTAAGCCCCAGAAGAATCTCAAAGCATTCTGGACTCATTGATAAGGTAGTTGCTTTGCTTATTTTTACACTGTACCAGATAAGCTGGGAACGTGACTTCCCAGTGCAAAATACCTTGGTGTTAATGCAGGATACGTCAACCTGCTTGGCACAAAGTAGGTAAACTTAGTTTGGCTGTACTTCACAGGATTCCCCAACCACCGAGCATTCTGTGAGGAGCTTTAATCTTCCAAAGATCTTTCCATTCGTTGTGCTGAGCATTGGCTAATTCTAAATTCTATGCTAAATTTTCTCTGTGGTTAAAACTTTAGTGTCAGATTGCAGTATTTTAGAGTGCAGATGATCCCTCTTGCAGTGGTCTAAGTGCTGTTACTCCTTAAATAAAAAAAATAGTATGTTGTGAAATGCTGGTACCAGGTAACACCGACTTTGAATATTAAGCGCACTAAATAGCGACTCAGCTTGTTTAGTGACTGCTTCTTATTTTCCCAGAAAAGTTTGGGGGTTGATAACATGCTACAACAATGAATTGTTGTTCAGGAAATTCCGAATTGGC